ATATACATACATTCCATATAATATATATATATATATAATATATATACACACACACACAACACACACACACACACACACACATATATATATATATATATATATATATAGTAGTTTTAGAAATATATAGTCATATTGTATGTGTGTATTTACATACTAGGTGCATTGTAAATACATATATCTATGTGTATATATGCTCAGCTGTGTTGGAAAGCAAGCTCTACTTAACATCTACAACAAAGTAGTAATAACTTCTACTCCGGTGTTATGGCTGATTTCAACTCGGACTTTGAAGATTATATATTAATAGATGAGACTCGGTTAGAGCTTTGCTTGGCTATATGTCCGACAATGCAACGGACTGAAATAAACCCACAACTCCCCCTGACGGATCCCAAACTTCTGGTTCGACTCCGAGTTTTGACTACCTTTTCAGCAGTCTCATAGTTACAATTTTTTATAACAAATATTAATCTATTGAAATACACAGTCTACATACTCGCATACACCACAGAGTAGACAGTATGAAACATGAAATGAAAACACAGACATAAATCTCACCATCAGCCCGGAATCCGTATTGTATATATTCGAGTATCCAAAATCGGCGATTTTGAGATGGCCTTCTGCGTCCAATAGCATGTTCTCCAGCTGAGAGGACAGTGCAGCGAAAAAAATTCAGTTCACAGTGAACTAAAAAACAATGACATAGACAGGTACGAATGTGATCATAGCTAATAGTTTGTGCACAAAGCTAGCCTTCTAAATGAACACACATGGTAACGTTGATTATGGGTTGATATGGTGTCTACATGTGAGCGATTTATCTATGTCTGACTCGGCCCAATCGCTCACAAACGGCGTCTGGTGCTTTTGATTGACGCGTGGTGCTGCATGGCGCTGAGGTGCGCTATCTATTTGGCTCGTACAAGCCCTACTGCTAAGACATTTGGTGCTCATTGGGTTCTGTGTGACTAAACTAAACTGAGGCCCCTTCTGTGTTAAGAGAAATCGTTACTGTAACACATTCAACACCAATATTGCCCACCTCAGACCCAGGGATAGTCTCTTGATCAAGAACTTTACAGTGAATACTACACAGAGATAGTCTGTTGATCAATGACCACAGTGAATACTACACCACAGACAGGTGTGCTCTGTCTGTATGCGATAGACTCGTGCCAGACCCCGGAATGCGTATGCCCTTTCTATTCTATGTATACCAGTCAATCAAATAATAAACAAACATATGTAAATACGTCCTCAAGTACGCATACGAACTGATAGGTATATAGACGGACAAAGTAAAAGCCTTCACCTTCAAGTCTCGGTGCACGATCTTCTGGTTGTGACAGTAACTCAAGCCCGCCAGTATTTGTCTCGCAAACGGCCGGGCATCTCGTTCCGAAATGAAGGTACGAGCCATTATATAGTCGAACAGTTCACCTGATTAGTATGCGAATTTGGGATTGAGATCGTTGTTACACAAATTGCAAATCTCACAATAAATTCGGGAATGAGATCGATGTTGAACAAATTGTGATTCTCACAATAAACTTGGGATTGAGATCGTTATTGAACAGATTGCAATTCTTATAATAATTTCGGAAATGAGTTGTTGAACAAATTGTCATTGTCACAATAAACTTGGGATTGAGATCGTTGTTTAACAGATCGCAATACTCACAATAGTATGTGTATTAGACAGTAGGTGGAGGTGTACAGTCGAAGGGATCGTTCAGTGAGCAAACAGCGTACCTGACACTGATGAATGAATGCTTCCCGCAAGAAATGTATAAACATGTCCAAGTAGAAGATCGATCACCTCCGCAGTATGGCATGCGATTCATAGTGTTGGGATGCTTGAAGAAAATACTGTATGGTCACACGTACCACTTAATAAACTTCTTACAACTTCATACAGAGATGAGACAAGTTTAAGCCAGAGTCGCAAAAGCTAAGTTTCGAGTGAGCACTACCTAGACAGCAGTTCACTTGACACTGTTAGATACGTACGGCAACCTGAAGAATATGGTACCAAGCATGTAATAGTACTACAGCGCATGGGCAAAAGCTACAAACACATCGCAGTATAGTGTGTAAACTTTGTATTGTGAGACCTGGAATACAGGGGGGGCAATCAGCAGCACGCAGACGTGAGAAACCTACTAGAGGTACGTGCTTAGTGATATACTTCAGACAGGTACAGCTCTATGCTAGACTACATATACCAGACTCACTACAACTCACTATACTAGACTCTTTATACTAAACTATAAGCACTAGATACTCATGGGGTTCTCATCCATATCGTTGCATACCTCCTTCCAGTAGTTCCAACACGAGTATAATAGACCGGTTGGTTTCGATAACATCGTATAGCCGCACGATATTGGGATGTTTCAGGCCACGCAAGGCGCGAATTTCACTCATGATTTCCTTATTTTCGTTGATTGCGCTCTTCTCCGTTATTTTCAGAGCAACCTGAATGTTGAGAGGGTTGATAGAGTTAGGTGAAAGATTCGGCTTGACTCTGTTGATGATAGAGAGATCTACATAGAAAGCAGCTGGGGAGAGTCAAGTGTCATAAACTAAGGGTTACTATGTGGCCTGGTTGTGGAAGAAACTGATGTAATATTTGGTCAGGGATCAGTTGTATGCGAATGCATTTGTAATCGACGAAAGTGAATGTGGCGCAGGTAACTCATATGGTAAGCCTGAGTGTATATGATTGCAGCACACTGTGTGCAAGTGAGTGATTGCGATTCTACATATTACTATTAATTAGTGTTTAAATGATTACACGGTTCCCGGTGATCCGTTCAGTATTACGAACGTATGTCGTTGATGTGCTTTTTTGGGTATAACGATGCATCGTATCACAATTGTACATGCACATATATTTCAACTTTTGATGTATTCTTCATGTATATATTCCATATATTGCTAATTTAAATAACATGCACACACATACACACACAATT